GAATGCGGAGAGCTGAAAGGTACGGTGATGTCAGCTCGCAGCATGGAGGCCAAAGCACACATAATGTCTGAGGCCAGGACACCATCCTGGCTATGTAATTGGATGGCCTTTATGATAGTCAAAATCTTTGCACAGTAGCTTGCAATTAAAGCGGCGTGGTTCTGAGACAACGAGCCATGACGATGGTCTTTTTCGACGCCATAAATTAGAAGACAATGCCGCGATATCATACTACAGCATAGCAATTGAGTTCTCTGTCCCCTCTATCACATCATTCATATCACCAAACCTCCTGAGCCTCGACAGTCCATCATGAGCGGCGAAATCAGAACTATCGCTCGTGCCCTTCGCGCTGCGAGCCACAACACCCTCCCCACCGGTGATCTTAGTTTCCTCGAAGTCCAGGGCCGTCGTCTGATCGAGAAGGTCTATGATGGCGACGAGCTCAAGGACCAGCGTATGGTTGCCAGTGGGCTGAGGGAGCAATCAACCGCAGCTTACGCCGTAGCCAAAGACCGGGTAAGTACTGAACCGAACAAACTACAAGCCGTACAATGCTAATATGTGACTAACAGACCTTCGCTGTATACATCAACGATGATGGCCTTATCAAGGCCAGTGAGTATGATGAGGATTCTGAGGAGTGGGATGAGGCCGAGCTCGAAGGCCTTGGTGATGTCACTGTCCATGATGAAAGCTACATCACTATCGCAGGACTTCCAAGCATGAACCTGGTTCTGTTTCAGGCACATGATGGTACTATCAAGACCGTCAAGCACGATAAGGACACCGATACATGGACTGAGGACTTCGACATCCCTGGATCCGCGGCAACTGGAACTCCGATTGCTGGCTTTTCGACCGACGAGGCTCTCGTTGTGAGCTTTTTCGGAGACGATGGCGAGATCCATGCTCACAGTCGAGACTTTGAGAACGGTGACTGGACTGGTAAGTATAGTTCAACATCCTCGTGAGTGTCACTCAATCTAACATCAAGCAGAGGAAACTATTCCTGACTCCTCTTTCGACGAGACCGTCAAGAGCATCATCGTCGCCAAAGACAAAGATAGCGGCCATTTCGAGGCCTATGCCTTGGTCGGCGACACAGTCTACAACATCACCAAGACCGGCTCCCGCGACACCGTCGGTTCATTCAATAGGGATGGAGACTTTGAGCCCTCCACTAAAGCTGAGTCTGGTGGATGTTACAGCAACAACTGGGGCAACTATTGCGGCTCGTACACCTGCTATCGCGGCTGTAGCTGCGGGTGTGGCCAGGGCTACATGTGCGGTTGCTACAGTTGTGGTTGCGGATGCCCTCGTCCTCGTCGTTGCCCGCCTTGTTGGTAATGTTGGCTGGACAGGCTACTCTGCATGCTTCGTATTGAGATGCGCCCTTCCTTCTTCTCGGTAGTGTGACATTTGAACTTACATTCACTCATAGATCCTATGGATCAATTCGTTAGTCAGACCCCCTAGTGGGTGCTCAGATAACAATATACTCAATTTAACTCGAAGATATGAACCTCAACTGCTGTGTGCAATGTGTGTCCAACGGCAGACGGGTGAGATTGACTGTTGGGTCCGAAGCCTCTGCTCCTTAGTTACAGAAGCTGTCAATAGCCAAGATACTCATTAAGTTCCATAACCCAAAGAATGAGTAATCATAATCTCAACAGACGAGGTTGGGATCACTTTTGATCAGGGCATCATTGAGACACGATTATGATAAGCATCTCCCAGAGACCTACGATTCTCAGTAGATACATCATACCAGATCAGAAGGACGGACTTCAAGCAGTTTGGGTACTATCTGCAGATTGTTGGCGACCCAATTGCATGTCCTGGATTATTCTAAGCAACTGCCGAAAACACAAACTTCATGATAAGCCAAGCAATGACAACGATTGCATTAAAGCGGCAAAGCACTGTCTGGCAGATACTGTGGTCCTCGTATGACTGCATTGCATAAACGTTGAGGTTGTGTCGCAGTGCATGATGCATTCAATATTGCAACCCAACAAAAGCCGCGTCACCTCAGCCATCAACTTACAGAACCTTGGTGCAAATCTTCAACGGAATTGGACGGCCAACTCTAGATTTAGATATCTCAACTTCTGCAGCCCGTTGGGGTATCATTTTGTGACAGTGGCGTAAATCTCGAAGCTGAAATGCAAACTGAATATTGATCATGAGACTATTTGCCGAGCCAACCTTTATGCCATTTATCAGTCTCGGCTACATGCTTCTGCAGGGTCTTTTGTTGGTGGCGTTATTATACGAAGCTGAATTGTAAATTGACTTGTCACTCTTGTTCAGCTGCGAGTCGGTCATGCCGCTGCCGAAAGGGTCCAAAGGAAGCATGTAACCTACGAAGAGCTCTGAATTTGGCATGTGACGAGAAACCGTGTATTCTAGGCGGTTAATGTCCTTGTGAAATCTCATCACATATATCTCAATTCCGACAGCTCGTTATCGAAGCACCACTCTGCAAACCACCCTCTTGCCGTCACTAAGCCTCTACCTCTTTGTGATTCCAACATGACTGACATTTTTGTCGACGCCCGAAAGGGCTCCCTGACTTCCACCAAGCTAGACGCCTATCTAGCCCAGCGCGTTGATATCAACGCTCAAGACCCCAAGACTGGCTTCACGGCTCTCGGAGTGGCAGCTAAGTATGGACGTCTCTCAGTCGTTAATCTCCTCCTCGACAAAAATGCCTCTCCCAGAGCTATGAGCAAGCCAGGCATGACTCCACTGTACATCGCTGCCAACGGTAACGGTGATAGAGTCAACATCGTGAGAAAGCTTCTTGAAAAGGGTGCTCAGGTCGATGAGACCAGCCCGGAAGTCGATAATGACACCCCGCTCATGGTGGCCATCACTCACGCTAGAGACCCTGTTGTTGTGAATATGCTCATCGACTCCGGGGCTTCACTCCAGGTGACGAACACTAAGGGCGAGACGGCAAAGCTACTCGCTGAGCAGTCAGGTAATCCTGCTATTCAGCGTGCTGTTTCCCCGCCTGGGCAGCAGATAGCAGGTCTTCCTGAACTTATCAATGCTTTGGTAAACTTTGTATTGTTCATCTTGGCGTATGTGAACAGTGGAGTCATCAACGGTGTCGTCAAGGGCGTGGTATCCAACTTGTACCATATTGGACAAGCTCCGCCTGACCAAACTTTGGCTCAGGTAAGCCGTACGAACTAGTCAGCGAGACAATTTCTAAAGGATTACAGGACTTGGATAACCCTACTACCGTAGATGATTTCCAAAGAGGAGTCGAGAAGTATGTCGAGGATAGTGACCTCGGGCAATTCTTCGCTCCCGGCAATGATTATCTACAAAAGGTTGCTGAAAAGGCAGTCGAGTTAAAAGACGACAAAAGCAATCACCTCAATGACCCAGAGCAGATGAAGGGACTAGTCAAGCTTGCCTTGTACCAGCCAATCTTCTACTGCGGTACGTCATCCCCTTATCAATCAAGGAAGCAGTAACTAAATCTCCACAGATGACAGTGGCTCAATGCAAGCCAACATACTCGACGCCAACGGGAACGTCGTCAGCACAAGAATGGAAGCCATGAGAAGTCTAGTACAGCGCATGGCCCGTATCGCAACACGTCTTGTGCCCGATAACTCAGGTGCTCATCTGCGCTTCATCAACAGCGATGATCAGGGCAATGACCTCACTGCCGATCAGATCGATGCGCGTATACAGTTCCAACCAGGCGGCGGTACCAACATCGGCACAAACTTGAAGAAAAAGGTTTTGGAGCCGCTGGTATTTAAGAAGCTTGATCAGGATGGCAAGTTGGACAGACCGTTCCTTGTTCTCACTATCACGGATGGCGAGCCTAGCCCCGAGCCTGTTGATACGTTCAAGAAGACGATTGAGGAGTGTGGACGACGGCTGGAACAGAAGGACTATCCCCAGGAATGTAAGTTGAGGCTCTTGATCCGAACGAAAGAATATGCTAATGAGGGTGACTAGCAACCATGTTCCTCATCAGCCAAGTTGGCAATGACCCTCATGCTGATCAGTTTCTCGACTCACTCTCTGGTGACACTGCGATTGACCGTGTTCTGTTCCGCAGTTCTGGTATGTTCTCCATTGCCAAGAAGATTTCATTAGCTAACATAATCAGAGCGCCTGCACGAGAAGTATGCCGAGCTTCGTGATAATGAGGCAGACCTTGAAGAATGGGTAAGACTCTTCCTTTACCAACATATGTCAGCGCATTGACTAATCAACAACACTATAGCTTTTCAATATTTTGATGCAGCCTATTACTGGATGAGGTTTATGCACACTCTACAATGTTGGCCTTCTGGGATCGGTGGTCCTGATATGGGAGTTCTTCCCACGCCGATAGTCACTGTCATGGTTTCTTTCAGAACTCATATCAATAATGATTCTATAACTGCATTCTTGTGTCTGGGAAATTACAGACCAATACATAAGTGTCTTGCCTTATAATAGACCCTGTACAAAGTAGCTTAGAAAGGGGGGGCTTGGCATACTCTGTTCTCCGACGACATGTGCCTCAAGATCCTCGCCAATATCACCGCTACTATGCAGCTGGGATACAATAAGCTTATCCCCAGCAAAACTTTTACTCCATTCTCGCTCTAAATTTAAGCTTACCGCTCGTACTACGTTAGTTGAGTGCAAGACTTGTGAAAGTGCCACGTACAGCACGAAATGCTACCAACGGCGCGAATCGCCCGAAGGTTTGCCTCACTGACATTTGCAACATTTCTCGGGTAATGTCCACTAAGAATCTCCAGGTACACCTCTAGATATTCTATATTTAGCGTAGTGATATGTGAATACTTCTGTTCAATAAAGTGTCCTGTAGATTTCAAAATGGCACTTGCTGCGACGCAATCATAATTCAGTGTCACTCTCGCTACCTGAGCTAAACCCGACACTATAATAGTACACAATTTTCCAAATTATACAATTTACCCATCTGTTCGTCCTCACTACCGCTTGATTTATGCCATGTAGTTCTTCTGAGCCCTCCTTTTGTTGATCGGCAGACCATCGGGACCCTCGTTCTCGCGACGGCAGTTAACGCCGGCTTCGTTACCGCAACGGGCGGGGAGGAGACAGCAGCCGTCATTATCGCGGAATACTTCCAGGCCGTCGCTTGCCCTGCCCAGTGAGACGCAGTCCGGGCCATCGGGAAAGCCACAACTGTGATCGCGTGTTAGCAGAGCTGAACTCAATATGAGGGTGCAGGTCAATGCTTGCCCATTCTTTGCGAGGACGCCAACGGCAAAGAAAACTGAGACTAAAGCGAATTGCATTTTGTGTGTGGAGGAAGAAGAAATGGCACCGGGCCTTGAGTGAAAAGATATGAAGGTATATGAAGAGGGTACTGATGCTGAAAAGAATATAGATGAGAGAATAGCGAAGGCCAATTCATGGGATGCCTTCTATATATTTATATGCTCGACGAAACAAACCCCCTAATTAAGGTGATGATGGCTTTTCTCTTGGCTGAAACAGCGCCTGGCCTGTAACAAGGTTAAAACGCAGGAGTTTTTATCCACCAGCTCCGCTGAGGACGTGACATTACCAAAATAGGCAATTCTGATATCGTCAACATCCGAGAACTCTTGATGAAACATTTAAAGTAAAGAGTGTCCCTGGTTATGTAATATCATTGATAGTTTAGGCTATTTGAATAGTTCAAGAACATCATTTGTAGGAGGTAGTCATATTTTGGCTTTTACACTGTAGCATTGAAATACAACAGGTACGGCCCTCCTTGAGCCTTTGGTTGAGCTAGGCCTGATCTGGGGAGCTGATGTTTGCATCTCGCGCTTTGCCTCGCGATTTCGCAATGTTGTCGTCAGTATTGATTCCTCTTCTCATCAATATCTCAATCTCAAGAAATGACTCCGTTGATACGTAGATGGCGTTTCCGGAGATTTTTCTCCGCTCTAACATATTTGGCATTTTGCCAAACGTACTTATAGCATCATAACAGGAGTCAATTGCGATGAATGACGAAGGTTGTATCACTTGAGGGGAGCCAACAGATATAACGGCCAACCTTGAGTATAAGTTACATGGCCATATATAAACACAGTTCACTAATTTCTGCATTTTCGCACAAATTCACCGAGGCTGAACATTCCACCCTAACATTTCGATAACCTATAAGCCCTCCATAATGTCACGAAATATCTGCATCACGGCCGTCGACGGCAACACAGGGTTTCTCGTCGCCGAACTAATTCTCAAACACCGCGACTTCTCCCGTAAAGTCTCTTCCGTCGTCGGTCTAACTCTCCACCCAGATTCCGCCAAAGCAAAAGAACTTCGAGACCTCGGCGTCAAGATCGTCACCCACAAGCCCGGCCGTCTTCGTGTGATGGCCAAAACTCTACAAGACACCGGGTGCGATACCATCTGTCTCGTTCCGCCTGCTCATGAGCATAAGCTTGAGATTAGTGAGGAGCTTGTCCATGCTGCGAAGAAGGCGGATGTTCCGAATGTGCTGCTTATTAGTTCGGCGGGGTGTGATTATGCTGAGAGGGGAAAGCAGCCGCGGTTGAGGGAGTTTATTGATTTGGAGGCGTTGGTTATGGAGGCCAAGGGAGATCCGAATGTCTCTACCGGAACGTCGCCTTGCGTTATTCGGTGAGTCAATGATGATGATTAAAAGGAGAGAGCTAATCAATTAGGGCTGGGTTCTATGCTGAGAACCTTTTGCTATATGCGCAGCAGGCTAAGTCAGAGGGTATTCTTCCACTTCCCATTGGCGAATTCCATAAGTTTGCGCCGGTTGCACTTGGTGTAAGGCATTTCTCATACGTTGATCCGAAAGTATACTGAACATGTTGCAGGATGTCGCTCAGGTCGCTGCTCATGTTCTGACTGGCAAGGGCAAGCATGGTTTCGATGACCGTCATCGCGGCCAAATGATGGTAGTCACTGGTGAGTCGGTGCTTTCGAGGTCATCTAAGCAACAAGACTGATTGAGTTAGGCCCCATGCTCTGCGCGGGCAAAGAGCTCGCAGCCGCAGCCAGCAAGGCTCTCGGAGCTGAACTTCAGTTCGAAAACATCTCCCAGTATGCTTCCCACGAGTCCCATTACCTCTTCTTACTAACAGCTTGTCTCCAGTGCGGAAGCAAAAAGAGTCCTCAAGTCTCAGTCTGACATCGACCCGTCCGAGCAGCAATATCTCCTCGAGTACTACAGCCTTGTGAAGGAGGGTAAAACCAACTACATCTCTACCACTGCCTTCCACGATGTTACTGGAGAGCATCCCACTGAGCCGGAAAACTTCTTCAAGATCTACGAGGGTGAGATGAGGCCCAAGAAGAAAGCTAAACATGAGCATAAGTGATGAACAGTACTATTTTGAAGTGGTAACTGTTAATCCAAATGTTGAGCCTGGCAAAGTGGCATCCGGTCTATGCCCCGAATCTGAGACTCTAGGAATAACTGGCGTTAATTATTACTGATTCAATTTATTGTTCAATGCATCATTTTGTAACGAACTTAAAATATCGGCAGTGATCTCACATCGTATTCTCAACCAATCCAACCAATCATCTCGTATCTCCCTCCCGAACAGCCCGATAACAAAACCCTAAAACAACCATAAATCCTACCTAATAAATATCCACCGCTATATCATGCAACGTTTCTCTGCATACAACTGACTCCTAATTTAAACACTACAGAGATATGTCTTTCGAATATGACGTATAGGACACTATCTACCTACCAAAAAGAGTATATCGTGATCCTTGTATGACTGGAAGTATCAAAAGTGCCCAGCTTCCTGCGGGCGGGGAACCCTGCTTTATCTTACAAGACTTTGAAAACGTCGCACTGATCGACATCGCGGATCACACGTCCGATATTAACGGGTTACATGGCCGACGTATGAGTAGTACGACGTTGATATTTGGAGTATAAAGGTCAACTCAGAGACCCCTCTCTCAAATGATTTGTTTGTGGCTGCTTGCATTTGTCCTTTGCCTCTCTAGCACCTTCGGCATCTACCATACACTGATGCTACTTACAAAGATGGCATTAGCAGGAAGTCACTTTGGCAGCCAATGGGGCTCATTCGCCATCGCAGGAGACTCTTTCAACCTGTCCATGACAGACCATGTTATTCGCACATGGGCAGATCTCGGTGAACTCGACGAGTTCTACAACATTGATATGGCCCCGCGCAGGTACCAAGCCTTGACGACATACCATAAAAGCGAGCAAGATCTTCTTAGCGAAATTGACTTTGAGCATCTCGATCAAGAAGGCAAAGTCGACTATATCATGCTCAACACATACCATACTCGTCAACTCAACAATCTCGATCTTCAGAAAGCCTCTAAGGAAAAATATGATCCTCTGCTGCCCTTTTCGGATGATCTTATTGGGATGCTCGAGGCGCGTCAGGATGTCGATCCGATGAAGGCCAAAGAAACAGCTGGTTTGCTAAACAACATCACCAAGTCCATCGCCAAAGTACAGACCAAAGTTCAAGACGGTGGTTTCAATGTTACCGAAACGACAGGATATCTTGCGAGTAAAGCCATCACCAATCTTCTTGATCTTTTGGGCGAGTGGTTCGCGTTTTACTCAACATATGATCCTTTATTTGACTTCTGGGTGACAACACCTTGGCAGGCGGCGAATACGTCGCTGACGAGCTATCTCGACGTTGTCCAGACAAAGCTGGCTGGTATGAACCAAAAGGGTGGTGAAGATGCTATTGTTGGCGAGCCGATTGGACGTAAAGGACTGGAAGTCGAACTTGAAGCCGAGATGATTCCCTATACACCCGAAAAACTCATCAAGATTGGAAATCAAGAATTCGCATGGTGTGAAAAAGAAATGATCAAGCAATCCGAAGCTCTCGGCTACGGGAAGGAATGGAAGAAAGCCCTCGAACACGTCAAAAATGACTATGTCGAGCCCGGAAAGCAAACGGAACTCGTTCGCGACTTGGTCGTTGAAGGAAGTCTCTTCGTCACAGAGCGCGATCTCGTCACCATTCCCCCGTTAGCAAACTCAACATGGCGCATGACGATGATCAGTGCAGAGCAACAGAAAGTTTCGCCCTTCTTCCTTGGAGGTCCAGTTATTCAAGTCTCCTACCCCGTTTCATCAATGGAGCATGATCTTAAACTCATGGTAATGCGTGGGAATAATAAGCATTTCGCTCATGCGACAGCTTTCCACGAGATGTTCCCTGGTCACAGATTACAGCTGTACATGGCAGATCGGTACAACTCCCATAGAAAAAAAATATTCGATACACCCTTCTTCGTCGAAGGCTGGGCATTGTACTGGGAATTTCTGTTCTATGCACGGGATGATTTCCATAAATCTCCTGAGAATAGGATCGGCGCACTTTGGTGGCGTATGCATCGCTGTTTGAGAATTATTTTCTCGCTGAAGTTTCACTTGGGAGAGATGACGGCTCAAGAGGCTGTTGACTTGCTTGTTGAGAGGATCAACCACGAGAGGAGTACGGCTGAAGGTGAGGTCAGACGATCTGTTGAGGGGACTTATTCGCCGCTTTATCAAGCTGGATATATGCTCGGGGCGCTTCAGCTTTGGAAGTTGAGGGAGATGGCTGTTGATAGTGGGAAGATGACGCAGAAGGAATATCATGATGCTATTTTGAAGACTGGTGGGCTGCCGATTGAGATGGTCAAGGCATTGATTTTGAACGACGAGCTTACGAGGGACTTCAAGGCGGGGTGGAAGTTCTATGATTTCGATTAAGTATTAGTCTTACTAAATTATTGAGAGTATCTATTTGTTTTTGTCCAACACTAGACCCGAGCCTGAGTAATAACCGCCACACAGAACTTAGTCTAACATCTAGTGTTTACCTTCCAACCAACCTTCAACACTCTCGCGAGCACCAACAGCACCGCGCAGAGTGTACTCGAAAGCGCAGCCCAGATATGAGCCCCAGTAAGACTTTTATCTTGCAGCAAACCACCAATAGGCGGGCCAGACAAACCCGCAAAAGAAACAAGGCTAAAACACATGCCCATTCTCGTACCAATGGTATCAAGCCTCTTTGTGATACTAGCGACTCCAGTGGGCATAAGACTTTGAAAAGCGCCAGATGCGATGCCGTAGAAGATGGAGAAGACGTAAACGCCTGCGACGTCGTGGACTGCAACCCATGTATATGCGACTATAGCAACGCAAAGAGCTGCTGGGGCGATTGTGTTCAATGGGCCGATTCTGTCGGCGAGGACGGGGATTAGGACTCGGGTTGGGAGACCGACGGCGTTGATTATTGTGGTTATGAGGGATGAA